ACTGAGCCACCCAGGCGTCCCAGTTTGTGTATCTTTTTATGTACTCCATACATAGGTGTGTATATTACAAATATGTGTTAAAATTTAATGAGATTATACTGTATTTTTCAACTGGCAATCTTATGCAGTATGTCTTAGAGATCTCTGTTATGACATAAATACTCCCTGTAAAAGGACCCCTTTTCTCATTACATCAGCATTTTCTTCTGATATAAATATTCATTCTTTATTTTAAATACTTTTTAAAAACTAGTATCACAAGGTTTCATAACTATTTATAAAACCTACCATTGGGGCACCTGGGTGGCTCAGTCGGTTAAATGTCTGCCTTCGGCTCAGGTCATGATCTCAGGGTCCTGGGATCAAGCCCCACGTCGGGCTCCCTGCTCAGCCAGGAGCTTGCTTCTCCCTCTCCCTCTGACCCTCCCCTGCTTGTGCTCTCCTTCTCTCTCAAATAAATAAAATCTTTAAAAAAAACAAAAACAAACTACCATTAATACAATGTCTCCCCCACTGATTTTCATAGACCTGCCATTTTTGCAGTCATTCCAAGCATTGTACAGCAAGGATGTTGAGGCAGTGTCCTTCGACCATTTAATAACTTTGGCCCAGCACATGACTTAACTGTTCCAAACTGCACTGTTTTTCTTTTTCCTTTTTCTTTTTGCCATTACTTTTAAACTTTGTGAACAAAACAATACATTCACCTAGGTAAAGCCAGTTGTATCAAAAGTCTTATTACAAAAGCCAGTCTCCCTGCTCTGCTGCTCCTTATGCCACAGGGTAGCTTCTCATAGTCACTTGGTTTTAATCCTTTCAGCTGTTCCTTATTGTATTTGCCTTCATATTTCCAAATAAGACATTTAGGCAGCTACTAATTTTTTTTTAAGATTTTGAGAGAGAGAGAGCACGAGCGGGGGGAGGGGCACGGGGAGAAGCAGACTCCCCGATGAGCACAGAGCCTGACACGAGGGCTCGATCCCAGGGATCCCAAGATTATGACCTGAGCTGAAGTCAAATGCTTAACCAACTGAGCCACCCAGGTGCCCCGCTACTTACTTTTTTTTTTAAGGAACAAATACATTCACATTGGTTTAAGGAAAAAAAAAAAAGGCATAAAAAGGTACACGGTATTACTTGTCAGTTATACCTAAATAAAGCTGGAAAAAATGTACAATGAAAATTTTGAACATTCTGAGAAAAGGCAGAAAATAAATTATGTGCAAGCAGCAAAGAAAACAAAGTTCCCAAATGTACTAAATGTTTTTAAATTATTAAAGTTATACTACAAAAATAAAAAGGTGCACAGTATAAGCCTTTCATCATGTCCCTAACTCCTCTCTACCAGGTTATGGTCATTTGCTGTCACAAGTCATCTGCAGTGAGTAAATCTTGTGCAAGTATCATTTCACAACTCTGTCTGGAAATCTGAAAAATAAAACCCGCAAGCTGGAATGCTGAGTGCATACATATATGATTTTAATAGATGTCCTTCTTGGAGGGTGATACGAATTTACACGCACAAGCAGTGTGGCTTCAGGCTTTGGGTTTTTGCCAGGGTAACAAGTGGAAAATGGTATCTCAGTCCAGTTTGAGCTTATTATAATATACTACTGTTTTTCAGTTGATCAATATTTTATACTCTGTATTGACTTTTCTACATCATAGAGGAGGATTTAGACCTTTTACATTAATTCCCCCAACATGCGCATCCTCCCAAGATTTTATGTCAAGGTCACATCAGTGATTAATGCTTACATTGCTTTGACCTTGTAACTCTTGTTCCCTGCAGGGTCGAATAGTGTACTATGATTATAGTTCCTTTTTTTTTTCTTTCCTAAAGCTAATGCTTGCTTTTTAAAATATATTTTATTTGGAGTGATTTTCGTCCCATACAGTTTTATAGCATTTGGGTTAATTTGGTTAATCATTACTGTTTTATGTAGCAACAAATGATTCAGTTTCACTGTTTTATTGACTTCTTTGCTCACTGCTATTTCTTGTATCATGTATCATCTTTTTCACAATCACTTTTTATACAAAATTGGAAGATATTGCTCAATTATCTTTAGGTATCCAGTATTACTGATTGTTAGTTCAGTGTCAATATAACGCTCATTTATTTGCACACAACCTGCCATTTCTGTCTGGATGCTTTTAGCATTTTCTGGAATTTTTTTTTCCTTGAAATCCAGAGGTTTCCCACACAACTTAAAGCATTCAGTGAGCCGTGAATTGTGAATTCTAAGAAACATTTTTATCTATTACTGCTTTGATCATTTCCCTCCCTTCATTTTGTCTTCATTATATTCATGGAACTCCTACAATATGGGCTTTTACTTTTATCTTTCCATCTGTCTGTCCTTTTTATTCCACATTCTAGGAGGACCCCTCAGTCTTCCAACTTAACCATGTGTTAATTTTGCTACTCGACCCATTCTAGATTGCAGACCTTAAGATCAGCCTCCCTGACAGTAGCTATGACATGACACAAGTTACTTAATTTCTTCATCCTTGGGTTTCCTCATGTGTAGATGTCCTAGGAGTTCCTCTTACATGAGATTGTCCAACTAGTGCCTGAGTGCTTCAAATGGGCATGGTAGGTCTTAGTTCTTAAAATTGTCATCTTTTTTGATCCTTGTATTAATTTAAAAGAATTCTGATTATTTTTCTTAGCAATGTGTTTATATTTTATTATTAGATTATGTTGTTTTTCTAGATGTGATACCCTCTCAGATTTCTCTGGGATTTTAATTAGGTACCATTTAAATTCTGTTTCCTCTGTTTGTTATTTCTTTAGTTTATGCCAATCTTCATTTATGTTCATTTTCTACTTTTTTTTGGCCTGCTTATATTGTTTTTATCGTCTCATATGTTTTTTTCAAAAGTCTTATGTTCACAGTATGATACTGGAGTATACATCCTCAGCTGATGCTTGACCCTCTTTGGTGCATGCATGCTGTCCTTAATAGAGGAGGCTTCTGCTGATTGGGCTTAAGGTGGCTATAAGAATCCACATGGGGGGTGCTTCTACAACCACCTTTTTGATGTTGCGTTTTCAGTCCAGTAAGTTACCTGGGACATCCCCCGCTTCTCAATCTCCAGCTCTGAGATATCTCCCTTGTCAGAAATCCCACTTCAGGGGTTACCTTGAGCCTTTATCCTGGGCAGATGTGGAGTCACTTGCTTCTTTTTGTACTTTATCAACCCTGTCATTGTGCAGGTTCAGTATTACCTCAACTTCTGCTATTCTCTCCAGCCCAAATAATACCATTAGGAGTCTTTCTTTGGCTATTTTTTTTTTTTTTGGAGATTTTATTTATTTATTGGACAGAGAGAGAGACAGCAAGAGAGGGAACACAAGCAGGGGAAGTGGTAGAGGGAGAAGCAGGCCTCCCTCTGAGCAGGGAGCCCGATGCGGGGCTCAATCCCAGGACCCTGGGATCATGACCCGAGCCAAAGGCAGACGCTTAACGACTGAGCCACCCAGGCGCCCCTTCTTTGGCATTTCTTTTGGCCATTTATTTTGTTCTTGAGGCTTATGTGGGGCCACTACCCTTAGCCACCCAGTATTTCAGTTTTTGTAGGGAAGAAGGTGTTTGGGAGAGTGGTGCTGCAAATGGCAACAACTGGTCCAGCCATTAGAAATGCCTAACATGAGGGGCACCTGGCTGGCTCATCTGGAAGAGCATGTGACTCTTGATCTTGGGGTCATGAGTTTGAGCCCCACATTGGGTGTAGAGATTACTTGAATGAATGAATGAATGAATGAATGAATGAATGAATAGGAAAGGAAGGGAGGGAGGGAGAAAGAAAGGCCTAATGTGAATTAATAAACCTGTTTCCAAGATCAACCTCTCTTACTTTATAATTGTTGTTTCTGAGTTTGGAATTTGAATTTCTAGGACTTGTTGAGAAGATCTCTTAGTCTTTTGGAAGCCTTCTGTATGTGATTTGAGCTGTGTGTTTGGGGTTTTTTTCCTAGTATCTCCATCATTTCTTATCCGTCTGCTCTTTATCATCTAGGAGTTCCTCAACATTTTCTGCTCCTCAACATTATCCTCAACATTTCTGTTCCTCAACATTATCCTGCTGATTGCAAACTTTCTATTTTTCCAAGACTATTGTGGACTTCTTTTTTGTCATCTCAGTGTAATATTAAGATATTCGTTCTAATTGTTATGACTGACATACATACTAGTAAGTCTAAAATCTGTATTCCTAGCACAGTTCTCTCTCGGAGTTCTAGACCCATATTACTGAACAGTTCAAGAATGTTCCACCAGCACCACAAATTAACCAAGTCAAAGTTTGGGTTTATTGGTCCCCTCTTCCCAACTCCAGGCTGTCTTACCATTTACACTTTCATACCTGGTCACTCAAGCAAGGAATATGAGGATCATGCTGGGTGCCTCCTTCCACATTTAGTCAGTCATCACATGATTTAGAATGAATCTCTCCCTTTCTCTTCTTAACCATCCTTATCACTTTGTTTCTGATTTGCTGCAGCAGTTGTTGTTCTACCTAAAGTCTTGGTTATTTCTGAAGGTGTTTATAATCACAAAGTCAGGCATTTCACTCTCCACTGAAGTCATTAAACTTTAAATCCCTGAGGGTTGTAGCCCTAACTCCTTAGTAGTGCTCACCAAACCCTTTGTTTGGACTCCTGCATTCTTCTCCAGGGCATGTTATTTACCACTGTCACCTGTTTTATATCCTCCACAAGAAGTTGCATATAGTTTTCCTGAGCGTGTCATATTTTCTCTACATTTTCACTTTTTTTTCTCTCCCTTATATTTGTTCCCAGAATTCTTCCCCAAGATTTGGGTCAAATGCCCCTACTCTGTGCTCCCACGACTTGTTGTGCATGCATCTATTGTTGCACTTAGAGCGTTACCACGGTTGATTTGTTTTTTTTCTTCCAATAGGCTCTAGCTTGCTTAGCAAAAGAATTTCTATTTTCTTCTTTTTATCCTCAGCACCTATTAAAGTGGGTTACCAATTAAATACAAATTTAAAGTAAAATGAAGTAAAGTGAAATGAAATGTTATTTGTGACAAGGACATGGGATTCATAGCCTCTGCAGGGTAGGGGAAGAACACTTTCACTGGCTATGCTTAAAAGTCAAGACAAGATTTTGTGTACAAGCTGTTTTATACAGCTAAGCTTTCTCTTTCTGATACTAACCCAAAGGACATGACTATAAGGACAAGACTGAACTTTTTCCTAGTTACTAAATCTTCAGGCATTAGGCAATCCAGTTCTAATATCTTGAAATCTGGGACGCTTGGGTGGCTCAGTTGGTTAAGCGTCTGCCTTCAGCTCAGGTCATGATCCCAGTGTCCTGGGATGGAGTTCTGCATCAGGCTCCCTGCTCAGTAGGGAGCCTTCTTCTCCCTCTGCCTCTGCCCCTCCCCCTACTTGTGCTCTCTCTCTCCCTCTCTGATGAATAAATAAAATCTTTAAAAAAATAAAATTTTGAAATATACTCTTTGTGTGTTCTTATCACTGAATTCTCTTTGTTCCCTAGGAGACTTGAAAGAAAATTCTATGGAGAATCTTCAAGAGAAAGGACTTAGCGATCTATTACATAGGGGCTTTTCTGCTGGCTAATTTTAAAGATATGGCCAGTACAATAACAGAGTCAGGATTATATTGTGAATCTTCCAGGAGACGTGTACAAGAATCCTGAACTAGATTTTTGCCCTTATCAGAAGTAGGGAGAAGCATCTTCTATATTTCCAGAAACGAGCAGTGTGGTAACTCTTCCAAGTGATAATTACAAAAACATGGCAAATGAAGAATATTTATCTTTGAAAGTCCCAAGCCAAATGGCCACACAGGACTCCTCAGTGACGTTCTGTAAAAATGAGCCCCAGGAGCCTCAGAAAAGCAAAAGTCTATCTGTAACTGAAGAAAGCACTGAGAGAAAAGTCTTACGGGGAGAAAGTCCTCCCATGGACCATTGTTCAGAGAACCTTCAAGTTAAACTTACATCTAACGTAACAGAACTGGTCTCACCATTGGTCAGTGGTGAGGCAAAATGCCAAAATGGCCAATTGAAAGAGTCTTTGGATCTCTTTGACTGTACCTGCAAAGACATTTGTGGTTGGAAATCACGAGTGGTCAGTCGTAGTCATCAGAGAGCTCATACAGAGGAGAAACCCTGTAACCATTACAACCTTGGGAAGAGACGTAACAACAGCTCAGACAGTCATTCATGTGAGAAAATCCACACTGCAGAGAAATTAGACAGATGCAGTCAGTGTGGTAAGGACTTCAGTGAGCACTCAGAACTACTACTTCATCAAAGACACCACACAGAAGAAAAGCCCTACAAATGTGAGCAGTGTGGGAAAGGTTTCACAAGGAGCTCCAGTCTCCTCATCCATCGAGCAGTCCACACGGATGAGAAACCCTATAAGTGTGACAAGTGTGGGAAAGGCTTCACTCGGAGTTCAAGTCTGCTCATTCATCACGCAGTCCATACAGGCGAGAAGCCTTATAAATGTGACAGGTGTGGAAAGGGCTTTAGTCAGAGCTCCAAACTGCATATCCACCAGCGAGTGCACACTGGCGAGAAGCCCTATGAGTGTGGGGAGTGCGGTATGAGTTTCAGTCAGCGCTCCAACCTGCACATCCACCAGCGAGTCCACACTGGGGAGAGGCCCTACAAGTGTGGGGAGTGTGGGAAGGGCTTCAGTCAGAGTTCGAACCTTCACATTCACCGCTGCATACACACAGGCGAGAAGCCTTTCCAGTGCTATGAGTGTGGGAAGGGCTTCAGCCAAAGCTCTGATCTCCGCATCCATCTCAGAGTCCACACTGGAGAGAAGCCCTATCACTGCGGCAAGTGTGGGAAGGGATTTAGCCAGAGCTCAAAACTCCTCATCCATCAGAGAGTGCATACTGGAGAGAAGCCCTATGAGTGCAGCAAGTGTGGGAAGGGCTTCAGCCAGAGCTCCAACCTCCACATCCACCAGCGGGTTCATAGGAAAGATCCCATTAAATAAGGTCTTCAGTCATATGCTCATACTGTAAAGACTTAAATATTTTTAACATCATTCTTTTATATTCTCAGGAGAGAGATAGTAAAAGTTACTCATTTATGTTCCCTCACTGAAAACCATTCATTCATTTAAAGTATTTAAGTACCAAGCTCTTTGTTATGCTATACAATAAATTGACTTCTGGTTCCTCATATGGGTACAGTGAAATGTCTGTACTTTGTAGTTCAGCCAGTGTTATTAGAACTACATGTCCTACCCAGCTTTTTTAAGTGCAAGAACTTTATATTTGTGTAAGCAGAACATGTTTCCCTTTGTTCATGTTCTCTGAGAAATTGAAACTGGTTTCTCTTCAAATCTTGTGCCTTGTGTTTTTCATATTTCCTTCCAGCCCTGATTAGCCTCTTTAAACTATGACTGCACATGTTAGTTTTAGGTCGAGGGAGTGGTTGGAGATATTATGGGCATGAAATCTGTTGTGTTTATTGCAAAATATACAAGTCTGTGGCCACACAACAAGAAGGTGGAGAAGAGCTACTTGTCTGGTATACCCCATGTGCTATAGGATGTTGAACCCCCCCCATTTCTCCCCTCAAGAAAGCTGCTCAGGAACATAAATAGTTATTTTTCCTGGGTACAGCTGGTCTGTTGAAGTTTTTCCAGATTTCACCACTTCAGATGACCCCCTGCTGCCAAACTAAAGCCAAGTAGGGTACATACCATGTTGAAACACAGCAAATGAAGTTGAAATATATTTAAATGTATTTAATTCCTCAATACCTCATTAATTTTTTTTCAGCACTCATGTTCTATACTATATAAAACAAAGAAGTCAGGAGAGAAAGTTTCTAATATTTTTCTCTTTGGGCTTATCTCTTGTTTTAATATGCGGCCAAAAGCCGCTTGTATTCACAGCATCCCCAGCCTAAATCTTTAGGCCTCACTATAGACCTATAACTTCTTTATAAAATTATATTTGGTTGAAAGTACTTTGTATAAAAATAGCTACACAAAAACATTTTAAAACTTGGAGAGTATGTTTGGGATGATCAGGCCTAAAATATGCACTGCGTCACATATCATTCACTTGGGGTGTGAAGGTAGGACACCTCACCAAGTTACACATTCATCCCCTAGAAGTTAACACAAGAAATTCAAGCAACAGTTGAGAGTAGAAAAGTGATTGCATACATAACTAAATTGGAATTTACTGTTCAACGAGGAGCTCCTGATAGCAGCCCTCATTTTCTGATAGTTAATGATTCCGCAAGCATTTCTTAGGAGGCTACCCAGTGTTCGATATTCCAGTTTTCCACCAATAATTAGTATCCATATATGAAAAATGGTAGGGAAAATATGGATGCCTTATTTATTAGCTTGGGAAGGTGGGGTTGTAACTGATATATCCTGACAATGTAACCTGAAGCAGTTACCTGGACATAGATAACAGGGAAATTGTACATTAATTTTGGGGAAACAGCTAATTTCTATTAAGGAATGAAGGAGAGAGATTAAAGACATTTGCCTTTCTTTGAGAGTTCCAGGATATTTGACTCCATCCCTGGGCAAGCATTCCATATGGAATGATTAGGGTGGTGACTGAGCATCTGCCCTTTAGCATTCCATAATATCCTTCAGTTATTTGGATACCCTAAGGCAGTATCACAAATGATGTGACTCTGTTTCACCATCTCTAGAGTAATGAATGCCTCTCAATTCCTCCTACCATCATGGATCATACCTGAGTATCTGTTTTGGATTCAACTTTTTCATCACATATGTCTTCTAATTTCCTGATGTATAGGATCTCACTGAGATTTGGAGCCAAATAAGATCACAAGAACCCGCGTGTGATGAAGCTGGGGGAAGGTTTGAAGTTCAGATCTCAGGTGATTATAAAACAGCCTGTTTTTCCAAATTTCCTTTTATGCATAACTTACAGTATCAATGTTTTTAACTATATTTAGCTTTTACTGTTTTCTTTTAAGTATCACCTTCCTTAATACAATTGAAATATGATCAGAGTCCTTGTGAAGCATTTTACGGATTATGGGAAGGAAGTTTGTGGAAAAGAGGAACTTGTACATGAAAATGCAGGGGGGGGGTGCGCCTGGGTGGCTCAGTCGGTTAAGCGACTGCCTACGGCTCAGGTCATGATCCCAGGGTCCTGGGATCGAGTCCCACATCGGGCTCCCTGCTCTGCGTGGAGCCTGCTTCTCCCTCTCCCACTCCCCCTGCTTGTGTTCCCTCTCTCGCTGTGTCTCTCTCTGTCAAATAAATAAATAAAATTTAAAAAAAAAAAAAAAAGAAAATACAGGGGGAACAACGGGATATATCACATTTCATCAGATAGTAAGAAACCATTGTGAAAAAGAAAGCACTTTGCTTAATGTACCCAATTTCAGAGATGTGAACATTTTTTTAAAAAGATGTTTTAGGATTATTGAAAAAAAAATTTTCAGAGTTCAAGGGTTGCAGTAGGCTTGATACTTTACAAGTACTTGATTTGAACAAAGACCTTTGGATATCCTCAGTATTCATCAATTATATCCAATTGATAATCCTGTCCCTAATTTAGCAAAAGATATAGTTTACAGATTATTTGTTGACTACTCGAGACTTTACAAATCTTAAAATTCATATCCATTCAGTGAGTGCTATTTCCTTTCTATATGAATTGTTTAATATCTTAAAATCAAAATACTAATGAATATATTTAATTCTTTTTTTTTTAAGATTTTATTTCTAGTAATCTCTATACCCAGTGTGGGGCTCGAACTCAGAACCCTGGAATCAAGAGTTGCACGCTCTACTAACTGAGCCAACTAGGCACCCCTATTCTTTTAATTCTTCCTACCATCTGCCCTAGCCAGAGTTAGGGGAGAGAAAGAAATATGGAAGCTCCTATGCCTTTCTCTTTGTACATCATTGATAAGAAAGGGTCATAACTGGTCATGGGGTGCAACACTGAACCCTAGATAATGAAAGCAGAGTTCAAAGCAAGATGCTCTAAGTAGTTGTGAGAGTAAACTGGCACTGGATTGGTACCTGAGAGCAGGTGAGAACAACAAGTAGGTTCAAGAGGTAGATCTGGAAAAAGCTAATACATAGGAGCATGTGGTAATTGATCAGCAAGGGCTACAGATATCATGTCAGTGTTTGGTCAGCTAAGCAAAATGACTAGCAGAGAAAGGACTAGAAAATGTGCTTTTTGTTAAATATCTCTCTGGACAGCATTAAAATGCTAAAAAAAAATTTACATTTTTAAAACCACAGTAATAAAGAGAATAGGAGAAAGACCACAACAAACAAGGAATCTCAACAAAAATTTGAAAAGTGAAGGAGGATGGCTATTGTATCAGAGCAGAAGCAGGTGCCATTTATAGTAGGTAAGGACAAAAAGGAGCCAGTTTGGCTCCAGGCTCAGAAATGCTTAATACTGTAGAAGACAGGAGTGAGACATGAAGGGAAGGCAGTGAAATTAATGGCCTGTTGTATATGGAACATTCACTTAATCCCATACACACATGCCCTCCTCCCCAACCCCTGTGCACTTGCCAACCAGAGATTTACCCTTCAGCAAGAGATGGAAGTTTCTTCTCTGCCGAAATTGAATGACTCCGAGAGAGAGACCTCTATTTCTGGCATTTGAGAATCCAACAGTAAAGCAGTTGTCTTCTAGCTCCATTACTCTTAGAGTTTCAAAATGCCTGAAATATAAACTGAAAGTCAGGGGGCACCTGGCTGGCTCAGCTGGTGGAGCATGCAACTCTCCATCTCAGGGTTGTGAGTTCAAGCTCCATGTTGGGCATGGAGCCTACTTTAAAAAAAAAAAAAAACCTAGTAAAATTGAAATAAATATAGGCAAGTTTTCAAGTATAGATATTTCAATAATTAAATGATAATAAAAATAGAAAATCAGTTAAGAGTTAAGCATCTGCCTTTGGCTGGGGTCATGATCCCAGGGTCCTGGGATCCAGCCCCATGTCAGGCTCCCTGCTCATAGGGAGCCTGCTTCTCCCTTTCTTCTCCATTCCTGCTCTCTCTTACTGTCTCTCTCTCTCAAATAAATAAATAAAATCTTTAATTTAAAAAAAGTACTATCAACTAACTTGATTAAATGACATTTACAGACCACCACCCAACAACAGCATAATATGCATTATTTTCCGGTGTACATATTATGGGCTATAAAACAAGTTTCAAATGATTTAAAAGAATGAAAACAATACAAAGATGTTCTATGACCAGAACAGAATTAAATTAGAAATCACTAACAGGAAGATATCTGAAGAATTCCCAAATATTTGGAAATTAAATCACCTTCCTAAATAAGCCCTGAATTAAAGAGGAGGTAAAAAGAAAAATTTGAAAATATTTTGAGCTAGGACACCTGGGTGGCTCAGTTGGTTAAGCATCTGCCTTCAGCTCAGGTCATGATCCCAGGGTCCTGGGATTGAGCCCCATGTTGGGCTCACTGCTCAGCAGGAAGTCTGCTTCTCCCTCTCTCTCAAATAAATAAATAAAATCTTTAAAAAAAAAAAAAATATTTTGAACTAGTCTATGCCCATACCACCCTGAACGTGCCCAATCTCGTCTGAAAAGATTTTGAACTGAATGAATATATTGAAATTGTTGGATCTAGCCAAAGCAGTGTGGAATTTTAACTTTTGCCAATAAATTCAACAACTTAAGTGAAATGTAAAAAGTTCTTGAAAGGCACAAACTACCAAAGCTCACTCAAGAAGAAAAAGGAGGGGCACCTGGGTGGCTCAGTCAGTTAAGCGTCTGCCTTTGGCTCAGGTCATCATCTTGGGGTCCTGGGATCAGGTGGTATTGGGCTTCCTGCTCAGCGGGGAGTCTTCTCCCTCTCTCATCGCCGCCCCCCTGCTCATGCTTTCTCTCTCTCTAATAAATAAAATCCTTAAAATAAATAGATAAGTAAATAATATTTTTAAAAATTTAAGAAAAAGAAAACGTGAATAGCCCTAATAAGTTGAATTTCTGGCTGACAGCCTTCTCACACAGAAAAAGTACAGGCCCAGATGGCACAAATGAATTCTACCAAACATTTAAGGGAGACATATTAACAATTCTACAAAAACTCTTCTAGGAAGAAATACTTTACAACTCATTTATGAGCCAACATTGCCCACATACCAAAGCCAGAAAAAGACCTCACAAGAAAAGAAAATCATACATCAACATCTCTCATAAACAGATGCAAAAATTCTTTTAAAAAATAGCAAATAGAAACTGCTATCTATAAAAGATGGTAATACATCATAGAGTTTATTCTAGAAATGCAAGTTTGCATTAGCATTCAGAATCAATGGATTTAATCATACTAACATAGTAAAAAAGAAAATCTGTATCTTTTTTAAAATGTAGAAAAAGTATGTGAAAAAAAATCAACACTCATTCATGATTAGAAACTCTCAATTGATAAGGAATTAAAGGGATCATCCTCAATTTACTAAAGGGCATCTATGGAAGAACCTGCATCTGACATACTTAATGGTAAAATAAAAAGCAGTTTCCTCATAAAACTGGGAAGAAGGCAAAGATGTCTACTCCTCTTCTAGCCAACATTGTCCCAGACGTAGCCAGTACAACAAGGCAGTGAAAAGAAAAAGGAAGGGGCCACCATAAGTCTCAGCAGGCACCGTGTACCAGCCTGCACTGGGTTTGGGGCAACTGAGTTGGGCCTGAGGAGCACACCTTAAGAAATAGAAGAAATAGAGCATAAATAGAAGAGACACAGAAACCCAGGCACATGAAGGGAGAATGCCATGTGACAGCAGAGACACTGGAGTTGTGCAGCTTCTAGCTGAGACACAATGAGGATGGACAGCCACTACCAGAAGCTAAGAGAAATAAACAATGTAAATAAAAACAAAAACTATAAAGTGCCTCGAAGAAAAAACACAAATCATAAAAAGGAAAAATTGGTAAATTGGATTTCGATGTTAAGATTTCATATGAAGAAAATAACTATGGACTGAGAGAAAATACTTGTAGAACATACATCTGATAAAGGAAGACTTGTATCCAAATCTATAAAGAACTCTTAAAATCCCTCTCCCTCTGCCTGCCTGCCTGCCTACTTGTGATCTCTCTCTGTCAAATAAATAAAATCTTAAAAAAAAAAAAGTGGATAAAAGATTTGGTTTTTTTTTAATATTTTATTTATTTCACAGAGAGAGACACAGCTAGAGAGGGAACACAAGCAGGGGGAGTGGGAGAGGGAGAAGCAGGCCTCCCGCGGAGCAGGGAGCCCAATGCGAGGCTCGATCCCAGGACCCTGGGATCATGACCCAAGCCGAAGGCAGACGCTTAATGACTGAGCCACCCAGGCACCCCTAGAATAGCTAAAATTTGAAAGGCATAATAATACCAAGTATTGGCAAGAACATGGAGCAAGCTGCTGGCAGAAATACAAAATAGCCATTTGGAAAATAATTCGACTATTCTTACAAAGTGAGATATTCACTTATCGCAGAGCCTGGCAATCCCACTCCTAGGTGTTTACAAAGAGCAGTGAAAACATTGTCATCCAAAGCTTTTATGTGAATGTTCATAGCAGGCTTACACATAATAAGCATACTATTCATAATGGAAACAACCTAAGTGTCCATCAGCAGGTGAATGAGTAAACAACAATAAAAAAAAAATACAACAGAATGAATCTCAAAAGCATTATGCTATATGAAAGAAATCAGACTTAAAATGTTACATAATGTATAGGAAATTCTAGAAAAGACAAATCTATAAGAGAAGGCAGTTGACTGGTGGTTAGGGGATAGGAGAGAGGTGACTGACTACAAAGTGGAATAACAGATGGAAAATGTTCACTCAGCTGTGGTGGCAATGACATGAGTACATTCATTGAACTATTTACATAAAATGGGTAGATATTATATATAAATTTTACATGGTATATAAATCTAAATCAATAAAACTAATTAAAACACATGCATACACATACACCAGTGCACATTTTTTGTATTGTGTATGATAAGAACACTTAACATGACATCTTCACTCTTTTTTTTTTATTTATTTATTGAGAGAGATAGTGATAGAGAGCATGAGAAGGGGAGAGTCAGAGGGAGAAGCAGACTCCCCGCTGAGCAGGGAGCCCGATGCGGGACTCGATCCCCGGACTCCAGGATCATGACCTGAGCCGAAGGCAGTCGCTTAAACAACTGAGCCACCCAGGCGCCTGAGATCTGCACTCTTAACAGATTTGTAAGTGCACAATGTGGTACTGTTAACTATAGGCACAATGTGGGGCGCCTGGGTAGCTCAGTCGGTTAAGCGTCTGCCTTCGGCTCAGGTCATGATCCCGGGGTCCTGGGTTCGAGCCCTGCGTCGGGCTCCCTGCTCAGCGGGAGGCCTGCTTCTTCCTCTCCCACTCCCCCTGCTTGTGTTCCCTCTCTCGCTGTCTCTCTCGCTCTGTGTCAAATAAATAAAATCTTTAAAAAAATAAAATAAAAAAAACTATAGGCACAATGTTGGACAGGAGATCTCTAAAACTTACTCATCTTGCATAACTGAAGCTTCATACCTGTTGAAGTGCAGCCCTCTATCTCCCCCTCCCCGCAGCCTCTAGCAACCAACATTTTACTTTCAGGTTCTGTGGGTTTGTCTATTCTATGAAGTACTAGTGCACATCATTTTGGAATAGTAAAACTGCTTTGTTTTCGCAGGATCTCTTAACTGGCAGTATTGGCAGATTGCTTTACTGTTGAAAAGTGGGGTTAGGTACTCTTTGCTATCAGACAGATGTTAAGACAGATGTTAACCATGGGTTTCTCTGAGCTTAGGGAAACATTCTCCCCACACTATTTTTGTTCAGTTTTCCTCTGAACAGCCACCAACTGTTTGCTATTTTCCTATGAACACTGAAATTCATTTACATGCGTTTTCTTCCCAAAGTTCTGAGACTGCATGGGTCTTGGGATTTTATAAGAATTAAAATCTTGATTTGTAATAGTCCTTTGATGCTTCTTCTTGAACATCCACCACTCTGTCCTCATTTGGGGGAATCTGATGAGATACTCCTCCTTTTACTCAGTAAAGTTTCATTTGTCTTCATCTTCTTTAAGTCTTTTTTTTTTTTTTAAAGATTTTATTTATTTATTTGACAGATACACAGTGAGAGAGGGAACACAAGCAGGGGGAGTGGGAGAGGGAGAAGCAGGCTTCCCGCGGAGCAGGGAACCCGATGCAGGGCTCAATCCCAGGACCCTGGGATCATGACCTGAGCCAAAGGCAGACACTTAACGACTGAGCCACCCAGGCACCCTTCTTTAAGTCTTTTTGCACCCCATTTCATTCAGGCCTTTCTTCAATGACATCTCTTGGGGCATATTCTTCCCTGAACATCCTATTTCTCTCCCTATTTTTAATGCATTTAATTTCATTATTTCATTAAATCATCCATTCACTCACTCTCTATTAGGCTTAGAAGTTGAGGACACATCAGTGAATAAACTCTAACCACAAAGGGAAAAAAGCTGGTAAATTGGAACACATTAAGATTTTCTGTGCAAAAAAAAATACTATTAAAGTAAAAAGGCAGGACGCCTGGCTGGCTCAGTTGGTAGAACACATGACTCTTGATCTCAGGGTTGTGAGTTCCAGCCCCACATTGGGTGTAGAAATTACTTAAAATCTTACAGAAAAAGAAAAAAAAGTAAAAAGG